TAAGTGAATAAAGTTAAAATCTTTCGCAATTGCAGTCAAACGCACGCCAATAAAAAGTCACTTACACGTCTTCGTTTCGAATCTGATGAATGTAAACGGCGAAGCGAACACGTCTGTTCGGTCGTGTCGAGTGGGTGCTGCTTTTAAGCTAGTGCCGCGTTCTACAGGACGTTAAGTGAATAAAGTCAAAATCATTCACAATTACAGTAAAACGCACACCAATAAAAACTCACTTACACGTCGTCGTTTCGAATCTGATGATCGAAAAACGCGAAGTGAAAATGTGTCTCGGTGTCGTCGTTCCGTAGCATCGGGTGGGAGTTGCGTGTATTTAAGGTCCCGCGGCATGACGTCTCAATCCGGGTTACGGGTAGTGGAATTTCCGCTTACGTAAGTTCCGGTAACATGTAATATCTTAGTCAAAATGTTAATGCACAGGCTTTTGTTCCGGGTGAAGGATACTCCTTTTCATAGAATTCCAGGGATGGGAATATTTACTGTATATATATATTTTTCCTGTTTGGTATCCTGCTGCTTCTCCTCCTCAAACTGCCCCTTGTAAGTGGGGTACCCAAATAGGGACATGTTCTCCTTAAGGAAGGTCCTCTTTGGCCAGAGGATGTCGCTGCCTGTTGAAAAAAAAACTTCTCCACAGCAGCAGAGCCAGGGAGTGGGGTGTTGTATTTCAGTGGTCCCCAACTCTCAGGCTGCGGACCGGTATCAGTCCACGCATCATTCAGTGCCGGGCCACCCAGAAAGACTAAATAAATTACATTACTTCCGTTTTATTCATTGCGGAATCTGAAAGATGTTTTATTTTGAAAAATTACCTGATTCTCTCTTATATCTGTCTACATTATGTCACTCTTGACGCAGGTGAAGGCGGCGCTTCTCGTCACGTGATAGGGTACCGCTAAAATGAAACTTAGGGTCTAGTAAAATGAGTGAAAAACAAACGTCTTTGGGAAGGGGAAAAGGCCCAGCCAGGAGACAGAAGGGCATCCTATGATTTTCAAGAAAGAAAGAAGGCTACATTTAATGGACAGTATCAGGAGTCCTACTTAAAATACGGATTTATCTCAACGGGAGATTCCCACGCACCAAGCCCACTCTGCTTGATATGCAGTGATGATGAGTCGTATTTTTCATGCACTTTTTATCTGTGGCGTATCTTATTTTGAAGGCACTCTTAAACGTTACCCATAGAGACCAGAGAGTGTTGTGGCCAGTTCGAATGTTCCTCGTGTCATGATTCGTGTTTATTATTATGTTACAAAAATACTAAAGTTTTCATGCAGGTCATATCATATTATTTTGTTGTATTTATCCGGCCTTAAAAGCTGGTCCCTGAAAATATTGTCTGACATTAAACTGATCTGTGGGGCAAAAAGGGTTGCGGACCGCTGTTGTATTTAATAAATAAGTCCAACCACACCTTCCCTGCACTCTACAGGCGCGTTCCCAACGCAGTGCATGTGGTCTGAAGACGAGTGGCGCAGTTGAAGAGTTCAAAGAAATTTTTTGTGCTGAGCCCATGTCGCCCGTGTAGGTTGGAAGGAACTTTTGCCGCCTCACGTCAGCGTCGAACACGTATACAAATAAGCAGACACAGCTAATAAAGTAAAGACATTAAAAAAAGAAAGAAAGAAAGAAAGAAAGAAAAGAAACACACACACAGTCACACACACACACACACACGCACGCACGCACGCAACGCACGCACGGTGGGGGAAAAAAGACCAATGTGGGCCTGTGTGACCGAGAGGCATACAAAATAGCTACCGGTACCTTTCTTAGGCTGGGAGAATCTTGTGAGTGGATTGAATTGTTTACAGCTGTTTAAGTGTCAACCAAAATAGCATTCAGCTGCCAACACAACCACCGTCGCTCATCAGACTGACCGGCAACGTGTAAACTTTTTGGGACAGAAAACGCACCTACTCTTGACCACTTGAAGCAAAGTGAAGTCACTCCCTGCGCATCCAAACAGTGTGAACATGCATGAGAGAAGCGGCGCATAATGATATTTCACATTTGGTCTGAAGTAGTGTCTTGGTGAATTAAATATGAAAGACAGGCTGGATATGTTTCTGTCAGTCGTCGTCCGGCCGTCCGTGTATTTGTGTGTGTGTGTGTGTGTGTGTGTGTGTGTGTGTGTGTGTGTGTGTGTGTGTGTGTGTGTGTGTGTAATATTACTGTTCCATTTTGGACATGTCTCGATAACTTTGGATTATTTTCTAAAAATGAATAAAATGTATCTTCTTTCCTCGAAACTGATGAGCTGAAAATCATGACACTGACCTCGATTTCTAATTATGTGATTGGTGGACATCTCTACATTTTAGCGGGCAAATGATATTCTATTTAAATGCTTTGGGATGGACCAAGACAAACTTGTCCAATTGTCTTTCTGCTGACAATAATGATCTGCATCTTGAATTAATGTCCTTCTGGGTTTGTTTTCCACAGTTGAGTCATTTCACTGGTGTTTGCTGTGGTGATGATGGACTTGGAAAATATAAATACCTGCTCACTATGTATTTTTTGTTCCCATATGTGTATGTTTGTAGGCCCCTGAGGATGGTGCCCCGGCAATGACAGCGGTTGATCTCTTCATCTCCACTCAGAGAATAAAAATGCTCAATGCAGATTCCCAGGTATATGCCTGCTGATTGTAGTGCACACAAACACAAGTGCCCCTTTTAACCATTACCATACCATTGATTATATGGTTAGATCATACTATATATTGGGCTGTATTCTCATCATCATCTTAATAATGTTCTGCATCAGTGTCTTAGTTGAGTTGTTTGAGGACGACTCAATCATTTCAAAGCTAGGTATACAGTAGAAATAAAACTGAAGTTTTCCGAGTAAAGTATATGTTCAAATTGACATCAGCTTGAATTCTAGTAAAAAAAAACGAAGGAGATAACCGTGCTTGTACATTACATATGTTATTTTAAACCCCAGTTCCAATGAAGTCCAACTGTCAAGAACACGATTGTTTTTTTCCCAAAATATTTACTTATTCTGAATTTTTTCAGAGGCCAGGATTTAACAGTAAAGTTATATCCCAATCATTCTAGCGTTATTTGACATCAACCAATTTTTTGTAAGGCAACTGTAAGGCTTTTCCAAACATCAATTGAATATAAAGGCTAAAACATCTATGGACCGAATTATTTGAAGGGGTGAATTGTCATGACTCATTTGATGGTCTGTTTCGCCCTCTCGTGGACATGATTCAATATAGACTCCTAGCCCCTGAATTCACTTTCATTTCGATATGGCTGAATTTACTCTTCAGCCAATTATTATGAGACTCTTTTTTCTTAAGATAATTATTGCTGTATTAACGTGACGCAGGGCATACAACATTTTTGAAGCAGTTACCAGCCAATCGCAGGGCTACAAAAATACTTTTCAGCAAATTTGAAGTAGATTTTTACAAGAGGTGTTTGGAAAAGCAATAGATATTGCCAAATATTTATATGTATTAAAAGGAGGGGAAACATCTCTCAACAAAGCGTAACTCACAGTACTGTGAATTAGTATTTGCCCACGTCATGATTTCTGTGTCTTTGCATGTTTATCTCATACAAAGGTTTCAGTTCATCCAACCAATTTTAATATCACGAGTGGATTTATCCCGTGAGCTGATTGGCTGCGCATCTTCGCAGCCCCGCTCAGCGTGACAAGACACTAGGGAAGACTTGCGTCTTGTCGCGCTGTGATTCTCTGGCTTACTGCGTCTTCTGTTTGCTAAGTGCGCGGCGAGGATAGAGAGAGAGAGAGAGCGAGAGAGAGAGAGAGAGAGAGAGAGAGAGAGAGAGAGAGAGAGAGAGAGAGAGAATAAGAACACCTTTATTCGTCTCACAATGGAGAAATTCCCAATTTACAGCTGCAAAGTTATGAAAGGAAGAAAGTAGAAGAACAAAAAGTATAGGAGCTGCTGTAAAGGCAGCCACTCTTACGAGCAGTTTTTCACTTATCGTGGCAGGGTCCCGGTCCCCATTAACCGCCATAAGTGAGGGATCACTGTATAAGGAAAGGTTAGATACAACATATAGTGTTCCCTCACTTATGGCGGTTAATGGGGAAGTGGAAGTGTATATGGGTACCAGCATGTTTAAAATATGTAAACACTATTTATACTTTATATATTTGAGACAAAGACTACAACAGTACACGTATTTACTTAAATCTTTAATTATAAAACCTTATACAGTAATTAACATTCATCAGCAGTGTCTTATGAGAGAGACAAAGAGACTTGTGTTCCTCTCACTTTACGCCGCTCTGACAGTGTAGCCGCCGTTAGCCTCCAGATAGTTGCTGGCCAGCTATCGCCACGCAGCCGATGTGTTTATGATAACACAATTAATTGGTATTGATGAGGAGAAGTGAAGAGAGACGTGCTGCTTGTTTCAAACAAGTCCAATCGCCCCCTCCCTTTCTCTCTTGCTCGCTCGCGCTCACTTTTGCTTTCACTCTTGCACTAGCTCTCACTATAGCATGTGCGCACGTAGCAAACACAACAACATGAAGAGACACTGATCAGAGAGTACACAGCTGATGATACAATGATCAGAGTCAAACACTTGTGATGAGACACAAAGGAAGGTGCTGGGCGGGGCATCTAGCCAATCAGCTCATGGGATAAATCCACTCATGCTGTCATTGGTCGATGTCGGCGCCAGGAACCAAACATGCGTACAACCATGTACAATACCTCTGAGTCATTCGGCATTTTTTTCCAAATACAGTACAGTACTCTGGAAAAAAAAAACGCGATGTAGTGAAGCCGTGATAAATGAAGCACAATATAGTGATGGATCACTGTAACTCTTGAAGCTGTGGATATCACAAAAACCAAAATAAGGATGCCTGTACATTGTGCTGAATACTCTTGCACACAACACTGTGGAGTCACACTGAGGGAACTGTGAATAATTTTACATAGGTAAGAATATATATATATATATATATATATATTTTTTTTTTTTCAAATGCTCTTTAATAATAACCCACGCATGTCGGATAGCTGCCACAACACCCTGGCTTACCTCTTCTATTCAGATCTGTGGCCGGTTCCATCTAAATCAGGAGTTCCTCGAGAGACCCTATGCAGCCTGTTTTGGATGTCTCCCTTCTCCAACACAACTGATTCAAATGATCAGGATCCTTATCAAGCTTCTGCAAAGCTAGCTGATGAGCTCATCATTTCAGTCAGCTGTGTTGGGGATGGGAAATGTCAAAAACAGGTTGGATAGAGACTCTTGAGGATCAAATTACATGCCAAGTATATTGCAACGAGCACAAATATCACTGGACCTTTTTAGTGCGGGCAGCCCCAGTTCAAGTTTGAAGCAAACAAAACTACGAGCATTAGGATTCAGAACCACAACTTGCATGTCAACCTTGTGGACTTTATTTGATTAAGATCGGATAAATCAAGATGAATGAATTACAAAGACTGACAGTAATTTGATTTTTTAAATTAAGTCCCACCCTTTGAACATTAAATATCTTTATAGTGTATTAAATTGAATATAGGCTCAAAAGGACTTGAAAATAATTGTATTCAATTTTTAATTTAGTAATACAGGGCATCCCAACTTCATTGGAATTGGGGTTTTTTTGGATGGATGAAATTATGAGGCGTTTTTACATTTAAATCTCTTGGATTTTCAGTTTGGATTTCAATCACATAAGGACTGTTGGGGCTCTCTGATTTCCAGGAGACAATGATGGACTATCCTCTGCGCACCCTGTCCTACATTGCAGACATAGAGAAAAGTGTGGTTTTGATGGCCAGATGCCGAATGCCTCCACCTGATTCTCAAGAAACTGTCGACCTCTCAGACCCGGAAGCACACGGCCAGTACAAGATGATATGTCATGTGTTGGAATCTGAGGATGTAAGTCGATAACAAATTTATTATGAAACTCATCACTGAGATGTTTCATAGACAAAAGGCCCAGAAGCGTGTTTTTTCTTGTTCAATATAATTTTGAAAATGTTTAGGTTTTAGCCAGTTTTCCCATTGGGCGAATGCTAAAGGTGCTACGTGTTCAAGGGGGCACCACAAAATTGGCCGAAAATGCACCTTTAATGTACTAAAATTACATCAAAAACTACTTGTTACTACTATTGTGAAGACGGAAACGGCAACATCAGATGTAAAGCACTGCCTAATCAGTTACTATTAATTATAACAGATAAGCAATTATCAAGAGCATGCGACTTTAGTTTTTGAAAGAAATACAGTACCGTGCAGGGTGCAAATCTAGTTGCTTCAACCACCAATATGATATGATGCAGAGTGCTGAGGTCACCTCATGAACCAAGTATGAGAGATTCCAAGATAGTTCATTCGGATTCGAGGATTTTCTTTTTCAATAAAATCGAGTAAACTACAATGGCGATATGAACTCATAGAGACAGTCACTCTGGCATCTCACTTCATCTGATGAAACTACAAACCCAGGTAAACTACTTTAACTTCACAGTTTAGCTCATAACAAACGTACACAAACTCATCTTCGTCAGTTACGCCCTTGATTGATAAAACAATACAGAGATTGAAACTACAAAGTATATTAAAACCTATGACTGTGATGCTTTTAGCATAGACATATACATACATAGACACAGCCTTGAGTGGGTTTACTCATTGGTATGACAGTGTCCGCCATATTTAAAGTGGCAGATTACTAATGCAATGTATTGGACTGAACTTTGAAGTGATAACATACAATCAAAACTAATTTAGAATTTAAATCTGATTATATCAGACTTCCGGGTCACTTCCGGGTTGAGTGAACGCTGGCGCGTCTGGCTGCCGCTGCTCACCCGCTATTATTCTTTTTTAGCGTTTGTTTTACGGGTTTTTTTACGGTTTACTCTCGTCATGGGAGAAACCCTCCTCTCCTGTCGCAATTCGTTGTGGTTTTGGACCGTCGGTCGTCGCACGGTTGCCCTCGGTCGCGCTGTCGCGGCGTCCTGCCTGTTCGGCTGTCGGACGGTGCTCCGTGCCTTCTCCGCCCCTCTGCGCCCCGTGGTGGGGGTCGACGGGGCCTGTGTCTGGGCTACGCTGCTGTGGACCGTCCTGTCGCTCCTCCGTCTGCCCGTGGGGGGACTGCTGCGGTGCTCAGCCCTTCTTGGGCTCCGCTTCCGGTGATCGGGCTCCCCGCCTGCATTGCACCGTTTCCCGGGCGTCGCTCCTCGTCCTTCCCGGAGGTGCATCCGCCGTGGATCTCGTCGGGGCTTCCACCTCG